TCGTCTCCTAGGCCACCCCTACCGCCGCCTGTGAGTGGCGCCTGGGGGGGGCGCTCTTCGGGCTGACCAAGATCGTCCTTTTCACGTAATGTGTGACGCATCCGATTTTGCGATCGGATGTGCGTTAATGCAACTCGATCATGAGGGTCGACATCGAGTCGTCTACAACCGGTCGCGTCAGCTAAAGCCCGCTGAGCGAAACTACCCGGTACATGGCAAAGAACTCCTTGCCATGAAATACGCACTCGCGAAGTTCCGAGTGTACTTACTCGGCAACACGTCATTCGTGATCTATACGGACCACGCGTGGTTGCGGATGGCTGTAAAGTCTCCCACACACCTCGCAACGAATGGCGAGATGGTTGTCCTTCTTCGCGGAGTACATCTTCCGGGTCGAGTACAAACCCGGAAGGTTGAATGTCGTCGCGGACGCGCTGTCGTGACGACCAGATCGAGGTTCTTTCAGCTCCTTCCGACAAAGCAAGTCGGAAGTTGGCACCTCGTCTACGGGCGAGTGCACACCGGTATCGTGTGCACGACGGTCTACTGTTTTACAGCGCTGTAGACGACAATACGGACCGCTTCCGCGCGATTCCAGGCGGAAGACTGGTATTGTTGTCTTTGTGGACCGCTTCAGCAAGATGGTGCATCTCGCTGCTGTCACAGCGGACGTCTGTTCAAGCACCATGCCATGTCCAACGACTTTGTGTCGGACCGCGATCCGCGCTTCACTGTGCGTTTCTGGCAAGAAGTGCTCACACTTCTTTGGAACGCGGTTCTCAATATCGACTACGGATCTTCCGCAGCCGGACGGGCAAACCGAGCGCGTGAGCCGCGTGCTCGAGGGCTTGCTGAAGGGCTACGCCCAGTCGTTCCACCACTAGAGGGACTACTTGCCGATAGCCGAGTTCGCCATCAACAACGCGGTGCATGCCTCGACTGGGCATACAGCGTTCTTCGTGAACGCCTTGCGGCATCCACGCCTTCCGAGCATGCTCGGGGCGGTGGCTTCCACCGTAAGTGGGGGAGGATCTACGGTTGCGCTCGAACAACCGCAGAATACAGCTGATACGGACCTATCAGCTGCGACGACATGTACAGGAGTGAGAACCCGGACACGACAAGGCGACGTGTCAGTGCCGGGCACTGACACTGTGAAGAACCACGAGCAGGCGACACCTGCTTCATCCCTGGACAACGTGTCTGTGCCCCACACAGACACCTCGAAGCTTCACGCACAGACTGGGCCTGATGCGAGCACACACAGAGTGTCAGCGCCGGGCACTGACACTACAAAGAGTCTTGCACAGTCTGGGACTGATGCGAACACAAGTGGCGGGTCTGTGCAGGACACAGTCGCGGACAAGGCCAACGAGCCGGACCTGGGGTTCAGCTCTCAAGCAATGGGCTTTGTCCAGGAACGACAAACAGTCGTTCGATTTGTACAAGATGCAATTGCAGCTTCTGCGGATAGGTAGAAGCTGAACGCAGACAATGTGGGCAGGGGTAACACAAATGAATTCAAAATTGGTTCATTGGTTTTGTTATCTACTCAAAACCTGCCTACCCATGCAGTTTCTGGATTCGGAGCGAGCAAGCTTGCTCCGTGCTTCATTGGACCGTTCACGGTGGCAGAACGTCACGGCAGTGCATACACGTTCGAACTACCTTCCGACATGAGACTCCACCCAACGTTCTACGTTGGGCGCTTGAAGCCCTGCGTACAGCCCGAGTCATCTAGTCGTGATGAGACGACGACACGAGGCGCGACTTCAACTTCTCCTCAAGCCTATTCGTCTTCTCCCGGAGAAGGCGAACTTGTTCCGACTCCTCAACACGGATGTTTGAGGTGGTCTGAGCGGCGTCGGCCACGTAAGCCTTCTGGAGGTTCAGCTGCTGCTTCAGCTCAGCGATCTGAAGAGCCTGAACGCGCTCAAGAGCCTCTACGCAAGCGTGGAGCGCCTGAAGACCGTGGTCAACCTGGGGTTGTGACAACATATTTTGGGTGGTGAGTGGAGGAATACTCCGCGAACGTAAATCCCAGCCCCAGTCACCCGAACCGAGTGACCGTGCACCGTTGTTCCAGGAAGGCGAAGCGTGGAGGAACCTGAAAACAAGATGACCGATAATTTCGGGTGGATCAGTAGAGAATGAGGGACTTACGAGAGGAGATATAGAGCCCCGGGGTCCCTGGCCGCTGGACATCCTGAATTGAGGAAATGTGTCTCGGGATGACCGATACGTTAGGGGTACCTCGTCGGAGAAGACCTGTGGATGACTACCCAAGGGGTCATGGACTCAGGAATCAACCCCACCAAGGACTGACTACGGCCACGCGGGACGTGTGAAGACTCTCAACATCGTTAAAGCTAAATTAACTCGGGGACTGGTGCGCTTGAACACTTGGGCTGATCCAGTTATTTCATTTGCTAAGTTGCCTCTGGACACCCTCAAGTGTCCAGTTGCATTCCATATTACCCTGTGATTTAGGAGGATTGTAGTGATCTCTCCCTGGATCTATATTGTTGATTGCCGTGTGAACGGAAGGTACTTATATTAATTCTCCTGTATTAGTACAGGAGTGGTGCGCGTAGGTCATCCCGAAATCTACCTGTATTCGGGCGTGCCTAATAACTGACAGGCTGTATATTTGTATTGTAACCTAGGTCACTTGTATTGATTTAGGGTAACGTTTAGAGGAAGGTCTTTGCCCGTGATCTCTCAACTTACACTCAGGACAACTAGGTCGAAGGGGTCCCGGAAGTTCTCTTATATCTCTATATATCCTATTGGAAGTCACTGCTATGGTGTTATCCCTGGTTTTCGAATTAATCGAACCTATAGGGATTGACGCAAGACACACGCCAACCCGGACTGGAACAAGTTTTCAGCCCGCGTTCCAGAGTCTTGTACGCCCTGAACGAGTTCGTGTTCGAATTCGTTCAGGGCACGCTATACACCTTTGGGCGGTCGAGTGTTCACCCACTTCGTCACAGTAGTCTGCTCCTCGTATTGACACTGAACATTCGGCACTCGCCGCCGTAAACGCGCGATACTAGCGTTCTATTTCGAGTTTCTTGTGTTCATGCGCTCACGCATACCGCTGTCATCACGATCCATGATGCATCGAGGCGCTCCTGTGGTCACATGCACTTTGTAGCTTTCAGAAATCGGCTATAAGGCCTGCACACCATTACTCTCGCACAAACTTGAAGAAACGCGCGTGAAAACTCGGACCCCGCACACTAAGTAACTAGCGCAACCATAACTCCAGTAGCGCCATGTAGGATACCGTCCAAAACATCGTAGACCATAATATCAATAGCACAGCAATCTCGAATGAAAACAGTTGAATTTCGGTCCGAGCGTCGAATCATCACTTCCCTCAGATAAAGCTGCGGGTTCGCAAACTCCCGTTCCCATCGTGTATTTCCAGAAAGCTGCAACTGGTGCCAGAGCCCGATCCCTTCCAGGAACAACTCCCATTCGCTAAGCGGTGGACGGCAATCCGATGTCTCGTAGTCTCAGGAGCCTCGACGCACCAGCTCGTGGCCTGCAGGATGGTCAAGCTGATGCTCGACTGACAGACGCTGTCATGCTGATTCCGGTCGCTCCTGCAGC